GGATGTATCTGTGCAAGGCAGGGTTTGGAATGCACAGTTCCAGGATGGATTTGCACATCTATTTTAATTTACTCCCAGAGGTACAAATGTTTTTTTTGTTTTTTTGGTTTTTTTTTTTGTTCTATTTCTGGCCACGATGGTTTAATTGCACTGGAATTAATCCATTCTCTAAGGGGTAACATCCCTGTTCCAAGCTCTGGCTGGGAAATTGCTGTTGTCATTTCACAGGGATCACAATCCCTGTGCTCTGGAGCTTCCCAAAGCTCCTAAATCCCATAATATCTGGGCTTCTCCGTGTCCTGAGCTCCAGGCTCCATCCAGGCACCTCCAGAGTCACCTCCAGAGCTAAAAAAAAAACCTGGAAATGTGGAGAGTCTGGGAATAGATGGATTTGGAAGTGTTGGAGAACATTCCTGGTGTGAATCCAAGAGTGGCCACAAACCCAATGGAAAGCGAGCAGAGGCACCACGTTTTTATTATCATTTATTTGTTATTCCCATTGCTGGAGCTGGGAGAGAAAAACTCATTATTTGTTTAGCTTAAAATGCAAATTGGAGAGGCCAAACCAGGGGGTGAAGTTTCTGCTCGGGGCCACCCGGTGGAAATAAATTCCTGGAATTTTCCCTTTATCAAATCCCACTATAAAAACCAGGATTTGATCCTCACCACGAGGAGCAGCCGTGTGGTTCAAAGCAAACAAACATCTCGCTGTCATTTCTCTGGATAGCTCCAGAATTTTCCTTTTTCCCCTTTTCCTAATCCTTAAAACATGAATGTACTTAGGCTAAAAAACGTCATTAAACATTAATAGAGAGCCTGATTTAACTCCAGCCCCGTTTGCTTCCCAAAGATAATTGTGGAAGAGAATGAACCCTGCTCCCTTGGCAGCTTTGCTGGAGATTTTTTCCAAAACTAATAGTGGAATTATGAAAGGAATAAGGAGGGGAAAAGTAAATTAAATCAAATTGCCAAAGCCTTGGGGGAGAGCCGATGCAAATGAGTTCAAAGCAGAGAAGTCACAAACAACAACTCCAGTTTTTCTTCTGAGCATCTGGGAAGTCACAATCCTATAAAAAACAATGGAAAAACCCGACAGAAAAACGAGCTCTTAACTCTGGTTGGGGCTTTTATCAGCCCTTCCCTTTCCCATTCAAGTTATTACCTGCAAAAGTGGGACTGGGGAATGAGCAGCCCCAATTAATTTTCTCTCGCCCTCACTGGGGATCATCAGCCCCTGGATAAATGGGAATTGTGGGGTTTAAAGATTTCTGCGACCTTAAAGGCAGGGGAAAGTTTCATTTAAAAGCTGTTTATAAGGGTAAAGTAGCTTGATAAGTAAATAAAACAGGGGGGGAAGAGACAAGAGCCTGAATACAAATTTCTGTTAAAATCGTTAAACTGAGGCACCACGGGGAGGGGAAATCATTCCCTGGATTCAGTCAATGGAAGCAGCAAGGAAAACAAAGCAGGGAATGTTATTCCAAACCAGGGATGAGTTCTGGATGCTCAAACATTCCAAAGATTTGTGAGCAAAGGGAGAAAATGATGGAAAATTCAGCCATTAAAGGTTTTTTTATACCTCAAACAGGGAGCTTCCGTGATATTCCTGTCCCAAAATTCCTGTGCTCTCCCTCAGGGATTTAGGATCAGGAAGGTCCAAATTATCCCTGAAATCATTCCTGAAATCATTCCTGAAATCATTCCCTGGATTCAGAGCAGTCAATGGAAGCAGCAAGGAAAATAAAGGAGGGAATGTTAATTCCAACCCAGAGATGAGTTTTGGGTGTTGAAACATTCCAAGGATTTCTGAGCAAGGGGAGAAAATGATGGAAAAAATCATTGATTAAAGGCTTTTTAACACCTCAAACATGGAGCTTCCATGATATTCCTGTCCCAAAATTCCTGTGCTCTTCCTCAGGGATTTAGGATCAGGAGAGTCCTCAGCAGATGCATCTTTCTGTTGTTATTTTAGACATTCTTCTCTGCTCCAAATTTAAGGAGAATTTTCCCAGGATTTTAAGGTGTATTTTGGTGTGGCTGGAAGGGCTGGAGAAGTCATGGATATGGAATTATCCTGGCTGGAATGGGGAAAAAAAAATAGAGAATTTCCAATTAAAAATCAAATATTGATTTCAGATAAAATTGGATTTGTTATAAAGGTCAGAGGAATTACACCAGGAACAGCAGAGAGTGCCTGGTTGTGATCATGATCCATAAAAATATGGAGAGTTCATGGAATCATGGAATTCTTTAGATTGGAAAAACCCTCTGAGATCAAATCCAACCATTCCCAGAACTTCCAATTCCCCAGGTGCCACCTCCACAGGGCTTTAAATCCCTCCAAGGATTGGGATTCCACTGCCCTTTTCCAATATTTTCCAGCTTTTCCACGGAGAATTTTCCCCTTGCAGAATTTAAATCTCAAGGTGGAAAAATAATAAATATTAGCAAATTTGATTAATAATTCTTTCGATATCCGTATAGGAGGATCTAGGAGTTTTTTGGGAAGTGCAAATAATTTATGCCAGGTTGGTGAGAGGAAAAACAGGAAATTTGGGAGAGGCAACTCCCAGCTCTCCCTGAAAAGGCAGCAGAGATCTGGAATTTTTCCTTTCCCAAGGATAATTCCTGTCTTAAAGCCAACAGTTCCCTGCAAAGCTTCTGCCTTGGGAAACTTAGGGAAGCAGGAATATTTGAATGTTTTATATAAAACACCTCCTAAGGATCCAAAACCTCCCTGTGCCACCCTGGAACGGGAGGATTTCAGGAATTCTTCTCCCTCAGGGGTTAAAAATTGAGCTGAGTTTTTTTTTAGATATCCTGGATATCCTGACATTCCCTGGATTTTTCCCTTTGGGAACACATTTTCCATGTGTGCTCCTGGCTCTGAAGAGCTGTGCTGACATGAGCTGAGCACAAACCATGGCCCCAGCCAGGTTATCCTTTATTTTCCAGCCATGATGAAATTTTCCAAAGGCAAATGGAAGCTGGCTGTGTGCACACACACTGGGTGTTGGTTATATTTTATTTATTTGGTGTTTTGCTGGGATCAAAATTCAGGCGGAGTTTGAAGCTGTGAGTGTGAATTATTTAAAACCGGTTTTATTTGAGTTAAGGCAGGACAGGCTGTGCTGGGTCTGTTTCATTCTGGGATTACTGGGAGAGCTCCAGTGGTGCCCAGAGGAGCTGGAACAGAGGGCAGACAGAGTTCAGGGGAATGAATGGATTTTATTGATGGATATTTATGGAGAGGCCTTCCATCCAGGATGGAAGCAAAAGTTAATCCTGTCTCTAGGACAGGTCCTAAACAAGAACCTGAATTAGTCTTGATTCCTGTGATGGCTCCTAAACAAGAATCGGAGTTAATCCTGTCTCTAGGACAGGTCCTAAACAAGAACCTGGGTTAGTCCTGTCTCTAGGACAAGTCCTGAACAAGAACCTAGATTAATTCTGTTTTTAGACAGAACCTGAGTTAGTCTTGATTCCCATGACAGGTCCTAAACAAGAACCTGGCTTAATCCTGTGTTCAGGAGAGGTCCTGAACAAGAACCTGAGTTTGTCTTGATTCTTGTAACAGCTCCTAAACAAGAACCTGGGTTAGTCTTGTCTCTAGGACAAGTCCTGAACAAGAACCTAGATCAATTCTGTCTTTAGGATTGGTTCTAAACAAGAACCTGAGTTAATCTTGATTCCTGAGACGGCTTCTAAACAAGAACCTGAGTTAATCCTGTCTTTAGGACAGGTTCTGAACAAGAACCTGGGTCAGTCCTGCTCTAGGACAGGTCTCAAACAAGAATCTTTAGTATGGGTTCTAAGCAAGAATCTG